AGTAAGCTGAGATCGCACCACTGCACTCCAGCCTGGGTGATAGAGGGAGAGGCTGTCTCAAAAAAAAAAAAAAAAAAAAAGAGAGAAAAGAAGAAAAAAGAACGATGAATTTGATGGGTGTAGTCTTTGGGTTGCTGGGCCCTGAAGGGCACATGGGATTTGGGACCAAGAGATATTCCCAGCTGGGTGGGGTCTCAGATCTCATAGCTGTGTGAAACACCTGGGTCTTAGGAAAGGCCTTTCAGTACACCACAGTCACGTTGCCCGCCACTCCCTTCCCCTACCCTCTGATTTATGAACTTTGGCCTCGCTTGTTACCTTCCTGATATGGGAAAGCATCTTTTGTCCATTTCTTGCATGGTTGGACCCAAGGTCTGTGAGACAAAAGACAAGGTCCAGCCCAGGACGTGGAATGGCCACAGAAGATGATAGTGACAGCTTGGGGCTGAGGGAAACTGCGGAAACAGAGCACCCACGGCATGGGCCGGGCTCAGTCCCCAGGCAGGGTGACTGTGTGGCTGGGATGTGGGAGGTCAGGAGCTAGTTGGCTGGGGAGGCACAAGCCCCTGTGGGCAGGGAGAACGCAGGCAGCCCTGTGGTTGGTTTATGGGGCCCTGGGGAGCTATGGAACAAGTGAGGGCGTGGTCAGGCTGCATTTGGGGAAGACAAGTGGAGGGGGGAGACAGAAGCTGGGACAGGGCAGGCGGCTGTTGGTGTCGGTGGAGAACTGGGCAGACACCCCAGGTCAGTTGTGACCAAGAGTCTTTTCGGAAGTGAGACCCAGGATGTGGGTGTGAGTGAAGAGGGCTGAGCCAGAGGAAGTAACTCTCCTGTTTTCTGAAGGAGCTGCCTGATTGCCTTTCTACTTGGTGTCTTCCTACACCTTTCTTGTTTCCACCTGCACCTTTCCCATTCAGAAAAGAACATAGGCGAAAATGCCACCCACAGCAGACGGTCCCGAGGGGCCTTGAGAGACACCAACTGCAGCTTCTGCTGTCCTGGGGCTCCCCCACCCCCAGAAGCTCCCCCGCCTCACAGAGGCCTCAGCTGAGCACAGAATATTCTGGAACATTTTCTCTGTACACTCTGGGGGAGTGGGCACAGAGCTGGAATTATTACGATTCATCTCAAAAGTGGACGCATAGTTTGTGTTCTGATCTGTAATACGTTTTTATTTAAGATTAATACAATGCTTTACATTTTTACAACCTGGAGAAAATTTCATGCTGCAGCATCTCATTTAAACCACACTGCAGCACCTTCAACTGGGTTCTGTTATTATTGTTCCTACCACTAAAACTTCCATTTGACATTGATGGAGATTTTGGGAGACTCAGAAAAGTGAGGGCCCATCAGCACTCATGCCAGAACTGAACCTTAGGTTTTTGGCCAGGTGGGGATCCTGAGGAGCCAGTTGCTGAGGATCAGGACCTGGGAGGCACCCACTGCAGTTATTTTATTCATGTGATTCTACCTTCTCAGCAATGCCGTCCACAGGCACTGTGGCTGTCCTCATACCCTCAAGGAGGAACTGGAGACTTGAAGGTGCAGGGATCCTCCAGGGAGGCCTGCCTGGGAGATGGACAGGATGCAGCTGCCTCCACCGGCTGCTTCTCCAGCATCCACCACTGTCTCCTGGATGTGGGCCTAGCCTTGGAGAACCAGCTCGATCCCTTGCCCCCTGTGTCCCCTCTGTGGTCATTTGTTAATTGTGCTTTCCTTTCCCAAAGTCAACAGAACAATGCACAAAGCCCCTTTTATTCTGGAGAGCCTATTTATTTGTTTAGATAGAGCTTCAGAGAGTTGGCAGTCCTCACTCAGCTACCCGCTGCCCATCCCAGGCAGGAAATGGAAACCCCCACACAATCGGCCTGTTGTGTAAAGCACAGCGATGACCATCAGGAGGTGGCTCAGCCTCCTGGGATAGGGGTGTCTGCTCGCTGTGCAGCATCTCCAAATGCTGCCTAGTTACTAGAATCAGTGTGCTGTCCCCCTCTGAGAGTTTCCTTAACAGCCTATGTGCTGACACATGGTTCTCAGCCTTTTTCTGCCTCCATGCTACTCACAGTAAACCCTCTGGTCAATGTCAGTGTCGCCTCTCTGATGGTCAGTGATGCTCCTTTTGTCCGTGGGGGCAGCACCCAAGGAAGGGCTGGGAAAGTTCTCACCTCCCAGAGTTCTGGTTCATAGGGAGTCATGGAGAAGGTCCCAGAATAGAAATATCCTACACCCCCACATACCAGCCACATAGCGCCCCCTGCCTGGGGACTGAGCCCAGCCCACACCCTCGGTGCTCTTCTTCCTAGGTTTAAATTCAGAGCCCTGTTGCCTGAGTTGACCCTGCTCTCACTTTGAATGCACTGGCAGATTTCCATGGGCTTCCAGTACCTCCTCTGTGCCCACTGGGACCTGGTTCTGGGGACGACAGCAGGAGTGAAGAGGGGGTGACAAACTGTCCCTAAAGAGCCAATTGATGTTGAGTGCATGGGGAAGGGAACAGCATGATCTGTGGGTACACACAGGCCATGGGGGGCTAACAGGGAAGGATACGGCTGGGCTCCTTGGGGGCTCATGAGGCACATGGAGAACCGTGCTCAAAGGCTGAGACACCAGTGGGGAAACGGGTGCGTTTAACACACTGACAGCTTTTAAAATGTGCCCTGAGGCAGGTGCCCGAACTAATCCGCAGTCAAAAGAGATGTGTGATATTGATCCCTCCATGGGTAGATGAGGCAGCACCACAGACTGAATGCTCACCCAGCATCAGTATCACGTATCCTGATTTTCAAAGTCATCATTCGAATGGGGTTGTATCTACTTTTTAAAGATGAGGAGATTCGCCGGGCGTGGTGGCTCATGCCTGTAATCCCAGCACTTTGGGAGGCCGAGGTGGGCAGATCACGAGGTCAGGAGATCGAGACTATCCTGGCAAACACGGTGAAACCCCGTTTCTACTAAAAATACAAAAAAATTAGCTGGGTGTGGTGGCGGGTGCCTGTAGTCCCAGCTTCTCGGGAGGCTGAGGCAGGAGAATGGCGTGAACCTGGGAGATGGCGGAGCTTGCAGTGAGCTGAGATCACGTCACTGTACTCCAGCCTGGGCGACAGAGCGAGACTCCATCTCAAAATAAATAAAGAAAGAAAGAAAGAAAGAAAGAAAAAAATAAAAAAAATAGAGGAGAGTCAGTAATGATTTTGCAGACACACTAGAGCTAGTGGATGGCAGGAGCCCCTGTCTGCTTGAGGGTGTCTGTCGTAGTCTTTAGTCCATTGAGTGTTGTTATAACAGAATGCCTGACGCTAAATAATTTATAAAGAAAAGAGAGTTTTGTTGTTGTTGTTGTTGTTGGGGAATTGCTTTCTGGCAAAACCTGAAAAGCCTGCTAGACAAATTCTAAAAGAGCTCTAACACTTAAGAAAAGAGGTTGATTTGGCTTATGGTTCTGGAGGCTGGGAAGTCCAGGAAGCATGGTGCTGGCTTCTCATGAGGGCCTTGTGCTGCACCCTAACATGGCACAGAAGCAGCAGGGGAAGCAGGCATATGCAAAAGGCTAGTCATGAGAGGCCGCCTCAATCTGCTGCAACCTGCTCTTGCGAGGGTGAGTCCATTCCCATGAGAAGTGACCCAGTCTTGTGAGAATGGCATTAACTCATTCATGAGGGTGAGTTCTCAAGACCCAAACACCTCCTGTTAGGCTCTACCTCCTAACACATGAACTTCTGGGGGACACACTCAAAATATAGCAGTGTCCTTGTCCTCAGGCACCCCTCAGGTGGGGTGAAGGCTGGGCACAACAAAATTGGTGTGAAGACTCATCCCAAATGAATGGGGCACCCTCTTCCCTGTAGGAGCATCCACACAGCAGCTCCAAGCACTCAGTGTCCAGGGCCAGCAAGCTGCACGTGTGGCACCACTGGGCTCCCGAGAGGGCTGGGGGCTGCGAATGATGTTTGCACTTCCCTTCAAGGCACCGAGGCAGCGAGACTCTGAGGATGATGCCCAGAGGGAGAGTTTGGATGAGGTCCAAGAGGAAAGAAAGCTGAAGCCTTTTTGGGCAGGTGAGGGAGATGGCAGGGGCTTGTGATTTTAGAGACTGTGTGAAGTGAGATTGGACACTCAGCTAGGTCAGCCCAGAGGCTGGGTCCTGAGGTTGGCCTCAGGGCAGCTCCGGGAGACCCCACCTGCCCCTTCTGCAGGATGCTTTCCTCTCCTCGAGGCCCATCAGTGTGGAGTGGAGCATCCACCATGGCCCCACGGCACTGAGGGCACTGGGAATGCCCAGCAGGGCAGTGCCCAGCCTCAGCATGCAGGCTCGATGGTCCCAGGAAGATACTCCAGCACCTCCCCTGCCGTCCTCACCAGGGCGGGGAGGTGGAGATGAGCACTGGTGCTGTCCATGCAGTGCCCTGGGTTCCACATTTGGATTTCCCAGCCAGCAGGATGGGGTTTCAGGAGTGCCCTTAGAGAACCAGCTAATTCAATGTTATTAATCAGATGAGAACCAAAGGTCCTGGGTGGGGAAGTGAAAATCTGCATGCTACAGACATATGGAGGTGGTAGGGGCTTCTCCAGCCACCTGAGAAAGGCCTCTGGATGTGAGTCCCTGCTCTGCCAACCTAGGGAGGGCTCTGTCCACTTTCCTGACACTCCCAGGGCCTGAGGAATCCTTAGTGCCTCCTCTAGGTGTAACCCATGTCCCTGTATGTGTCCCAGGGGTCATCCTCAAATACTGCCGTGGTCTTGGTGTCCAGAGTCTTCTTAGCAGGTGGGACTCTCCTGTCTTCACCAGTCTGTTGGGATCAGCTCAGCCAGCCTGGTTAAAGGGTAAGTGGCTCTGAACTTTACTGTAGAACTTACTTTGTTTTCCTCATAACTTTCTCTTTCCATGTCTGCAGCTGCCATTGTGTGGGGCTCCTCGAGGATGGGGACCCTGTTCTCTCAGCTCCGCCCCCCAGCATGAGTCATGGTCTCTCTAAAGACCCCATGGCCTTGAAGCAAACATCACCAGCTACACCCAGCAAGGCTGGTGTTGTCTCTGGATTCTCCGTATAACGCTGTGGGAATACAGGAAGATAAAGCTCAAAGTGGAGGGAAATTTTTGGTAGCTTTGGGTGTTGGAAGTGGTGCAGCTCCCCAGGATCCCAGCCCCTCAGCGAAGCCGTCCTCAGGTACTGTGTGTGGGCTCTAGCAAGTCTGTTGATTCCTCATGTGGTAACACCCTCCTTGGATGTTACTCTTTGCAGTTTTACATAATACTAGACACACATTATTTTCCTTTATCTTCATACAACCCTACGTTTTCAGCATTCTGGGGATTACCACAAGCCCCACTATCTGGTGCCCAGAAAGACACGGGACACCCTTGGAGAGGAGCACTTGGCTTCTTTGCTGTCCTTGGACTTGGTGCAGGATGGTGGGTGCTGGGTGTGGTGGATGGGGCTGGGCAGCAAGGATGGTGCCATTTACTCTTCTCCATTTACCTCCAAGGTTCTTCATGGTCTATGACTCCAAGGTTTGAAATGATCTCATTTACCCCACATGATAGGTGTGGCCCTTCCAGATGAGGAGTTCAACAAGACTACATGGTAGAGCAGCCAGATAATCCACTAGAAAGAAGACTCAAAATAAGAAGTAACCACAAAATAAGGTGATTTATAAAGATGCATTGCTTCACTAGAGAGGCAGCATTTTACTGAGTAAAGAGCACTGGGTTTTTAATCTCAGAGTCAACTATAGTTAGGGTTCTGCTGTTTGTCTAAAGATCTTGGTCAAGAGTGTCTCCTTTCTTCCCTTGTAAAGGGGTGAATGGGAATCCGCACCCTAGAATCTCTATGACATTATAAAGCTGGAAGTAAATAAGGGACATAGATAACCTTTCAAAATCAGCAAGGGTTGTCCCAATAGGGTGTTGGCCGATTTGTCTACAAGATTTATTTCATGAAAGAATATCTCAGTTGGGCTGAATCTGGATCATTCTTTTGACCTGTACTGAGGAAAAGGCAGGAATTTGAGTGCATTTAGGGTGAGCTGGCATTTTTCAGTTCTCGCCTCTCCACGCAATGATGCTGTCTGCCGGCCCCAAAGGCACCGTGTTTGCCATCCCTGACCAGAGCCTCATCAGAGCCTGCTGCAGCCGGGGGCTGGGCTTGTCTAGGAGCCGGGAGCCACTGGTCCCAAGTGGGTATTACAGGGTTAACTTGTGTCTGTGGCCAAGGCATAGAATCAAAGTAGGATGAGTCACCTCTTGTGCATTTCTTATTTCAGCCCTCCTGCCACTTTAGCAGTTTCTGATGTTTAATTTCCTCGTTTCATTCCAGAGACAGAGAATGCTGATTCACTATGCAGTGAAACATGCCTAACGTGTCAACAGCTAATGCCCAGTGACAGAGTGGTTGTCTAGGCAACAGAAGAAGTCACCCACGCAAACACTTAAAGGTGAGCTGTGAGAGTTAAGCAAGCGAGAGCTTTTCACTGAGTGAACTCACGTCCACACGGGGTGCGTGTTCAGACTCATGCGGCAGCTCCAGTGACAGGGAAGGTCGGAGAAATTCCAGGCTCTGAGGAGTCCCAGACAGCATTCCAGCTCATTCCTAATTTTATATTCAGGTTCCTTAAAACAAAAACTTCAGTATGAGACATTCAAACCCTTTGCGTGTTACAGTCTGCAAAGTTTGAAAAGCATTTCCTTCCTTAGTGTCTCGGAATTGCCCTAAATACTTTCTTTCAACCAGCAGGATAGGGGACACTAGGCTTTTGTGACGACTTAAGTCTTGGCAGCAGGAATGGGTCCCCAGAAGGTGCTAGTATTTCTAGAACAACCGATATCAGGGCAGGTGTCTTGTGCTTGACCCCTTTGTGGGCCACTTGCCTGGAGTTATGGGACAGGGATAAGCGTGTTCCTGCCCCTGAGGAGGTCACGGTCAGTAGGGGAGGCCCCACAGACAAAACTCAATCTCTGCATTATGGCTGCGGCTCTGGATGGTCCGGAGGCCCAAGAAAATATTGGGCAAGAGTATCTCTTTTCTTCCTGTGTAAAGGGAGTAATGGGAATTCACACACTACAGTCACTGTGACAGGATGCATGGTTGGGGGTGTGCAGGGGACCTGAAGAGGCCACTGCATCCCAACTTCCTCTTCTGCTGATTATTTCGTTTAAATAACTTCTCATGGATATTGCTTATGAGCAGATGACTTGCAAGGTGGGATGGGGAATGGACGTGAAAATACATAAACCATCATCTCTGTTTGTGGAACTCGAGGTCAGGTGTGCAGAGGGCTGAGCAGGTGAAACTGAGTCTCCAGGTTAGGGCATGAGCCGGGGGCTGAAAGGGGCTCTCCCTGTACTGGCAGGGAGGATTCCCTTCTTCCCTGCTCTGTGCATGTGGCCTGCCAACCCTTTCTCTGTCACACCATGATGCAGTCTTGGGTTGCCCACTCATCGATCTCTGGCATCTGTTGGGTCATCTTTGTCTCTGATCTTTGTCCTTGCTGTGTCTGACCATGCTGGTGGTCAGGAGGGAGCTAAGCTCACAGGTGTTTGGCAGGGCAAAGGCCTGGGCTGAGACTCTACAGTCTTGGGCTTCAGTTTTCCCATCTGTAGGACAGGAGCAGGGCCAGCATCCGAGGTCTGTGGTGAGGACTGGTTGAAGGCCACACCGGGGTCCTGGATGTGGCCAGCTGACCAGGGCTGGGTGTCTCACTGGCTCACAACAGGGAAGAACAGAAATTCAGAGTAAATCACTGTAAACTTTACAGCAATTAGGCAGAGTAATTTCATATCTGTTGAACCTAACAAAAATTGGGATTTGTGTTTTGTCTTCATTTCATTTTTCTAGGACCTTATTTATTTTACAAGGGGAACAGTTTTCAGTGGAATAGATATTAAAACACACACCTGGATCCCTTTACCACAAGTTCTTTGAGAGGCACCATTAAGGACAGTGAACTAATGCAGGTAACTCAGGTAACAGGGCAGTGAGCTAATGCAGGTAACATAGGTGACAGAATCATGGGATAATACAGGTAACACAGGATAGTGAGTTAACTCAGGTAATATAGCTAAGCCAGGTAACCCAGCTTACACAGCCAACACCTGGCAGTGGGCTAACATAGTTAACTCAGGTGCTCAGCTCAGGCACATCCCCAAGGTCCCCCCATGAGGTGGTCTGGTGGCTGTCTACATGTACTCCTGGACGTCTGTATCCTGGTGCAAGGGAGCCTGGCAGGAGAAGGGACCCTCAGACCCTCCCTCAGCCACACAGGGCAGACATCCTCCACGTGGCTTCAGCCGTGCCTGTCAGTTGAGTGGTGGGCAAGGTCATGCTCGGGATAGTCTACCTGGTCCTCGGTGAGGCCCAGCCCCACTGAGAAGCATTTGGGGTCTATTTATTTCCTCAGCCTGTCTGCTGCTATTTGTCACATGCTAGTATTGGTGCGGCAGCTGCTTCTCTGAGTCCTAGAGCAGGAAAATCCTGGAGACAAGGCCTTTGCCAATGGGGTACCCTGCAACCTGGAAGGGAAGGTTCCTGTGTGGTCCAGCCCTAGTGGCAGAAACTTGGGTCTGCTCTGTGTGTTGTGTCTACAAGTGTCTGTTTGGCTCCTCACTGACAACAGGAGTCTAAGAGATTCCTAACAACTGACTAAACAACATAGAGTCTGAGCAAACGTTACAGAAATGGGGGAAATTGCAGTGAAATTCTGGAAAAGGAAACATGCTCAATGGAGACAACATGGAACCTTGCTTCTGAAGGAAGGGGTGGGGTGCTGTCTGGAAAGTTCTAGAAGACAAAGCACTAGCAAAAGGCAAGAACATGTTGTGAATGACAAAGGAGAGGAATTCTGCATTTTTTTTTTTTTTTAAATCCACTGGGACAATCCTGTACTGAAGAGAGCATGGGGCTCTGGGCAAACCCTTCTCTCCCCTGAATCTCATTATTTTCAGTCTGTAGTAGGGCAGTAGTGGGTAAAATGCCGCTAATGTCCCTTCCAGGACCAACGCTAGGAGTTTTCTTTGAAGGGACACGTTGGCTGCTCCTTTCCACCCTGATGGCTTCCTCATGCCTCTTCCTTCCTTGCCAACCCACATCATCTCCCTGGGACTTTGCTTGTAGTCAGCTCAGATGCTGCCTCCACGCCTGCATTCTGACCGTGCTGTAAACACATAGGATTCTTGCCGGATAGGGTGGAGGGGGGTGGGTCTTACCCCTCCCGAGAGAAGCCTGTGAATTCTGACTCAGTGAGTTAAGGAGAAACACTCCTCAGGTGTGGAGAACACATACGCTGCTGTGTTGAAGGTCGTGCTGGGCAACACTTAAGTCTCCTCCAGGATCCCCAGGAGCAGCCGCTGGGGGATGACCTGCACGTGGTCCAGTAACCTGTGTTATGCTTGCAGGATGTTAGGGCCTTCAAGTTGATTTAGCTCAAAAATATTCAAACTTCCTTAGCAGCAAAAATATTCTTTCTCAAACGACATCTTATATGGAGTCTGAATATATAAAATTCCCATATTAAAGACGGCAGTTTGTAAATTGCTTTATAATTTCTCATTGATGATGCTTATTTATTCGTAATTAAGCCAGTCAACAAAAATGTAAAGGACCTTTTGATCAACCTGGATACTTTCAGTTGTTTCAATGTTTTCCGATCTTGATCTTCGTCATGTGGTTCCAAAAATTTCCAATTCACAAAGATAAGTAGCAATATAATAATCTTTATAATTTTCTGGAATAGATATGTCCAGTTTTAAATTTCGGAGAAATAAAAGACATTCCTAATGAAAGACATGCCGGAAAGAATTTGACTCAAACTCAAAATATCTGAGATGATGGATATGCTAATTACCCACATCTGACCACTGTACATTATATGTGTGAAAGCTTCACTCTGTAGCGCATACATATGTACAATTATTATATGCCAATTAAAGAAATTTGAAATATACTTGTTGTAGGAGTCATGAAAGAAGTACTTTTTAAAATTGAAGTAAAATTCACATATCATAAAATTCACCATTTTAACCATTTTAAGGTGTACAATTCAGTGGCTTTTACATTCACAATGTTGTGCCACCATGGTCTCTATCTAACTGCAGAACATTTTTATCACCCCCAAAAGAAAACTGTCCCTATTAAATATGCATATTTTCACTTAAGTTTTGAAGCAGTTACAATATATTAAAATGAAGTGGAGGCAAACCAGAATAACCAAGATGGTTTTAGGTCATGATAAATGCCGTGAAGGGAAAGTGATAGTGAGTGAGAGGGAAGAAAGATGCTTGACTTAAGACCCAGATAATGGGAAGGTGTCAGCAATGGAAGGGGCAAAGGAAGGGCCTGAAGGAGGGAAAGAGAGGGTGTGCAGAAGCCCTGAGGCACGACTGAATTCAGCAGGGTTAAGTATAGAAATGAGGCCTGTGCGCTTGGAAGGGAATGTGCCCAGTACGGATGGGAGGACCCAGGGTGGGCTGCTGGGGTCTGGGGTGCACTTTAGAATCCACTGAGCAATGTGGGAGCTCCCGGCCTGGGACCCAGCCATGGTTGCTGGCAAACTCTGCAGGTGATCCTAGTGAGAAGCCAGGACACAAATATCTGACAGATTTGAGAAGCAGATACGCAAAATTGGTCTGTGAGTGTCAACCACAAAACTCAGGAGTTGAGCTTGGTTTCTTCTCAGTCTATGCATCTAACACGTTTAAAATGTTCTTTCTGACATTATGAATCTTGACTTCATGAAACTAAGAAGTATAAAGAAAACAAAGCTATTCTGGGTGAAATGTAGTCATGCTGGGTCATTAGCAGTTACAGAAAAAAAAACCCCATTATCTCCTTGCGAACTATTTTCCAACAACGTTAAAGATTTGATGACATTTATTTTATTGAAAATAATTAGTGCCCGCTGGCCTGGCAGGCAGCTGAGAGGAAGGCACTGTCCCCAGAGCCCTCTGCTTGCAGCCTCTACCCAGGTCCAGGGGCTGTTGTTCCTGCGTCTGCTCTTACCCCCGCAGGCACTTTTGTAGCGGGTGTTAGTGGTTCTTGGCTGATCAACAAAGATAAGTTTAATTTTACCCTTAGATAGGAACACGGAGATTCAGTCTTATCTGATGCCTGCCAACTTCAGGCTCTTGGGTCTAAATTATGGGAACTTGGATTTCCTTGGCTGTCCACCATCAGAAATCAGTAGATTTCTGCAAAGGAAACCAAACAAGACTCCAGCTGTCCAGGTACTATCTGCCAGAAATGGATTGATGCTGCTTCTGTTTACAAAAATACTGGCTGTGGAGCGTGTGTCTGTCCCACAAATCCAAGGCTTTCTAGTCTGGCACTGGGGATCCAATGTAGGGAGGGAGTTCAGCTGTGAGGCACAGGGCAAGCCTGTGCTGTGCTTGGGGGAGATGGTCAGGGACCCGGCAGCCACTCATGGAAACTGCATGGCACATC